CCCTCCGCACGCAGGATGGGGTCAGGGCCTGGGGCCGCTGCCGGTGAATGGCGAGAGGCTGGTCCTTTTCTTGGCGGTGGGAGAGTCCCGTCAGGATGCTGGGGAGGGGCTGCCCACGGGGTGTGCTGCCCACCGTGGCTGCCCACGGTGCTGACCTGTGCTTCCCAAGCTCTGCTGCCAAGACCAAGGCTGGGCACCCAAGATGTGACACCTTCTGGTTTTGGCTTCATAAGGCTGAGCAGGCTTCACGTGCCTTAAGAGCAGGGAAGAGTTGGCATCTCTGCTTTTCCAACAGCTGCCACGTGTGCCCGGTGCTGGGCTCCTCGCTCGTCCAGGGGTGGGCACCTCTCCTTGCACTGAGTTTGCAGAAAGCAGGCAGCTGGAGCCACCTTTTTGTCCCCAAAGGGCTTGACCCTCACCCAGTCCACCCCACTTGGGTGCGTTTGGTGCTGCTGAAACTCTGGGAGAAAGGAGGGCTTTTTGGGGTTGGTCCCACTCTGGCAAGCAGGTTTTGGGGAAGGGAGAGGGGGGTGGGTGATGGATGGGCTGGTGGGAAGCAGGGGGGCACCACGAGCTGCTGTGGGCCAATGTTGTTGGCGGGGTCTATTTTTGGACTGTGTTACCAGGAGCTGGAGGAAAGCAGACCCCACCCCCAGACACTTTGCAGCACTGGGAACTTTCTAATGGGTGCAGCCAGGTCCCAAACAGGGGAATGGGGCAGGCGGATCCTATTTCCACCCTCTTCTCTGTGCTGAGGGCTGATGCTGACCTCCTGGTAGGCCCTGATCTGCTCTGGGGATGGTATGGCTGGTGTCATCCCTTTGCCACCTGCCTGGGGGCAGAGGGATCAGACTGTGTTAACATAGGATTTCTCAGTTCTCTGACCAATGGGTTGGGTGCTTGAGCATGTGTTCTCTTTAGGGCAGCATTAGAGCAGTGCAGCAGGAGGAGCTTCTCTCTGGGTAGGATTCATATGATTCTATTATATGTAGGGCCTGGAATTCAGGTCTGGGATCTAGGAAGGGTGCAGGGGCAACAGGAAAGGAAAAGAAGAGATGCAGCAGCAGGCGAGAGGCTCACAGGAGCTGCATTTGTTAGGAGCAGATGGAGACTTGGTGGCTGGAGAGGGGCAAAGGGTGTCTGCAAGTATCATACAAAGCCACCAAGTACTGGAGATCTGAGCATCTCATCAGGTTTGTGCTGTCCACTGCTTTTGTATTCTCAAGTAGTTTTTATCTGTCAAGTTGCAAGTGCATGCTGGAGATAGGGGGTGAGTAATGTTATGGCACAGCATGTTAGGATGACAAGAATGGCTTAGGCTGGAAGGGAAAATTAAAGATCATCTAGTCCAGCCCCCTGCTATGAGCAGCAACATCTTTCACTAGACCAAGCTGCCTGGCCTTGAACACTTCCAGGGGTGGGGCAACCTGTTCCTGTGTCTCACCACCCTCATTGTAAAAAATGTCTTCCTTGTGTTCAATCTAAACCTACCCTCATTCAATCTAAATTGCCCCTTGTCCTGTCACTACAGGCCCTAGTAAGGAGTCTTTCTCTGTCTTTCTTGTAAGCCCCCTTTACATATATATATATCAAAGGGCTGCAAGAGGGTCTCTTGCTGCTGTGATTGCCCTCCAGGGAGGTGCACCAGCCTGCAGGGCATTCGCCCTTAAGGTGAAGCTCAAACATGGCAAGAGGGAAACATAAACCTTCAAGCCCCAAGCAGCCCAAAGGGTGCCCCCCAGCACTGGCAACAGCAGAGGTTAAGGCACCCCAGTGCCTTTTGCAGCAAGCAGGATTTTTAAAGATGTAGGGGGTTGTTTATTTTTGCGAAGTGAACTTCTTAAGGGGACACACCTAGTGGAGGGGTCTGTAGGGACAGCTCTGCATCTTGTCCTGTCCTCAGCTTTGGGAGGGCTGGCCTGTGGTAGGTAAGGAGATGGCCAGGTCTGTCTGCTTCTGAGACCCTCCTGCCCTCACTCCCTTCATCCTTCTCCTCTCTTTCAGCCCCTGGGGAGGCTGCTGCCCGGCAGCAGCGCGGGAGCCGCGCGCGTCTCCGCTTGGCGCGCGCCGGTGGCTGTGGGGCTGCGTGGGGCAGCCTTGCTGCCAGCCAGCCAGGACCTGGCAGTGGCCATCGAGCTGGGCTGCGGGTGCAGCGTTGCAGGCAGGTCGTTGCTGGGAGTGGTGCATTGCAGGAGGGAGCAGGGAGGAAGGAGCCAGGCAGGAGGTGAGCGGAAGAGAGAGGTTCCTGAGGGAAAGGGCGATGCGTCACTTGCAGGGTGAATTGATGTTGCCTGCTGCCTGGGAAATCCGTGTTTGTCTGGTCTGTCCTCCATAGCACTGGTGTGAAATTAGTTCTGCTAAGGATTTGCAGCTCTACTTCCCTGGTAAGTCCAGGCTACGACGTAGGGACCCCGAGGGAGGCGGGGACAAACTGAGAGCGGAAGCGCCGTGCCGAGAAAGATGCTGAAAATCTCTCCTTGTGGTGGAAGGCGTTTTTCTCCCCGGGGATGGAGGCCTTGTTTGAACAGTTCCCATATAAGGGCACTTCTATCTTTTAACTTATTCCTTCTCTCTCTCTCTCTTCGTCTCCCTCTTCATCTCCCTCTTGCCCTAAAGGGATGGGAATCCCCCTTTGATTCCTCTTCAGTAGCTGTGGGATGGAGCCAACACCAACACGAGGACCGCACGCTTTCTCCTTGTTTGAGTAAGGAGCAGTGTTGCCAGCCTTAAGAACATAGAGATTCATAAGCCAGGACTCTCCCACATCATCAGATTGTCCTGATACCCTGAGATAACAAATGTGAGGGCTTTAGTGTCTGCTAGACCTGAGGACTTACTTCTCAAACTTGGTGTGAGTAAGTGAGAGGAGAGATTTTTCATGTCCTCGTGCAGGGTTGCAGCGCCCGTGTCAGTGCTTGCAAGCATTAAATGGAAACCAGAGGTCACAGCACCAGGCAGGGCCCAGCTCTGGTTGCTTTCCCAGAGAAATCCTGCTTTCGTGGAGAAATCTGGCCCTCCCAAAAGAGTCAGGAGTCAGGTAGGAATGCAACAGCCCAGCCCTGTGCTGCGCCGCAGCGAGTGCCAGCCCCTCTGCTCTACAGATGTATAGTCATTTAGCAAAGAGCAGTACAGCCTGGTGGCCTCCCAGCAGACCATGGACTGGGCCAGCACTGCAGCGTGGCCCAAGATGATGATCTCATACAGTGAAATATAATAATTGCCAGGTGGTGTGTCTTTGTATAGTGAGGCTGGGCACCTTGCAGCTCAGCCTTTTGCAAAGCTGCAGAGGCTTAATACAGCACCCACCGGCCAACTGGGCATAAACGGGGACAATCCATCCTGCTTCCTTGTAGGATGAAACAACGTTCTTTAATCCAAGCTGTTACTCAGTACTGCAGCTAAGGAGACTTCTGCCCCTGCCTGGGTAGCATGGTTGCCAGCACAGAGCAGTCCTCTGCATTGGTAGAGGCAGAAGAGCAGCCCTTTGTGTTGGTGCACATCGTGGCTGGGTTTCGTACTTCTGGGCAGCCAGAACTGCAACACTGCAGGCACGCAAACGAGGACACAAATAAGATGCAGGTGGGGGCAAATCTGCAAGCCCACCATCGAGTGCTGGGGCTCAAACTGATGTGACCCATTGCCAAGAGGTTTGGGGGCAGGTGAGAAGGCCGGGGGCTGCGTCACGCCATGGAGCAGCCCTGGGGTGGCTGTGGAGCAGCTGCTGCGTGGAGCCTGTGGTTGGTGTCCCCAGCTCCCCCCGTCACGTGTGGCTGAGGGAAGTGACAGGCGTTTGGCAGCTGCCCTGGTCTGGAAACAAGTGGCCACGCATTCCTGGGCAAGTTCTTTGTCCCGCCCCGGTGCCGGTGCCGTCATCACCCCCCTCTCGGATGGCTTCGGGCTGAGCAGCTGCTGCTCTCTCCTCTCCAGCAGCCACCCAGGCGAGGCCAGTGGGATCTGACTGGTGCCTTTGTATCCCTAGATGGGAAGAGGAGTACACGGTACGTGTCCAGCTTCAGGACCGGGTGGCTGAGCTGCAGGAGGTGAGCATCACTGTCCCCCCCCCCCTTCCCCTGCACCCACGCTGCCCTCCCTCTGCTGATGCTGATTTCCACATCTCCCTCCTGAGCTGCAGGAGGTGGCATCCCCGTCCCCCCCCCCCCTTCCCCTGCACCCACGCTGCCCTCCCTCTGCTGATGCTGATTTCCACATCTCCCTCTGCCCGGAGCAGGAAGCCCAGGAGGCTGAAGCCTGCCAGGAGGAGCTGGCCATGAAGGTGGAGCAGCTCAAGGCAGAGCTTGTTGTCTTCAAGGGACTGATGAGCAATGTGAGTCCCTAGCCCCTCTCTGCCCCAGCAGCAGTGTCCTACCCACCCAGTGAGGCTGGGTAGAAATACAGTTCCTCGGTGGGGCATGTCCAGGATGCTGTCCTGCAGCACAGGAGGGAATGTGGGGTGGCTCTCACTGCCACTTGCCTTGCCTGATCTTCCTCCTTTTTCCCTCCCCTCCTGTGGCGCTGTGGGTTCAGAACATCACAGAGCTGGACACCAAGATCCAGGAGAAGGCCATGAAGGTGGACATGGACATTTGCCGGCGCATCGACATCACTGCCAAGCTGTGTGACGTGGCACAGCAGCGCAACTGCGAGGACATGATCAAGATGTTCCAGGTGAGAGGTGCCTGCTGCTGCTGCAGGCTCAGCCCCTGGCCCTGGGGAGGAGAGTTCTTGAAGGAGGTAGAAGAGACAGCACCGGCCCCCTGCTAGGGGCGACACTTGGTCACCCTCACCCTCCTTTGTTGTGGTCCTTTGCTCTCTGTCTGTCTCGGGGGGACCCAGAAAAAGGGCATGGAGAGGAGGTGGAAAGCTCCAGATGTTGCTTTGGACATTGAGGGTCCCCTCAACCTCTCACTGTCCTGTTGTGTTAGGCCCGGGGACCCCACAGTGATAGGGGAGCAGCTGCAGGAGGGAGACTAGTTGCTTGAGTGTCTGTCTCTAACTCCATCTCTCTCCTTCCCCTTCCCCTCTCCGTCATCTTCTCTCTTTCTCTGCTCTGTCTCTGTCCCATTTCTCTTTCTGGATGTTGCTGCCTTTCTGTCTTGCTTTCTTTGTCCCCACAGAAGCAACTGGTTAGTTCCATTCAGTTGGGAAAGTGTACAAATTTTAAACTTTCTGTAAATAAGGTTGGATTGCAAATATTGACACATTTCGCCTTTTTCAGATTCTGTCTCTTTTCTTGTTTCTGTCACTGTGTTTCCCTGTCACTGTGTTTCCCTGTCACTGTGTTTCCCTGTCACTGGACCAGGGTGGTGGGCGATTTGAGTTTTTCTGCAGTGAAAGCACATTGTTGTGGTTTTGTTGTGTTTTTTTTTTCACAGATTCCATCTTTAGTTGCTCAGTTTTAATTTTAGAAAATGCTGAAACCATGTCTTATCCATTGCACCATCTTTAACCTGATCATAACGAGCCCATCTCTCTCTGTCTCTCTCTCTCTCTTTTCTTCCTTTTTTCTCTTCCTCTCTTTCTCTCTCTCCCTGCCTTTCTGTCCACCCACCATTCCTTTCCCCTCCATCTCCTCCCAACCACCCGCTCCCGACCTCGGACCCGGCCTCGTTTCTGTAGTCTCTGCACTTGTCTCCCGTTAAGGTCCCAGCCTCGGCGGGGCGGAAGCGGGAGCGCAAGCAGGTCAGCGATGAGGACACCTCGCTGTCGGAGAGCGATGCCTCCCGGAAGCCTGAGGAGGAGGAGGAGGAGGATGAGACCACGGCCATGAGCATCAACGAGGAGATGCAGAGGATGCTGAACCAGCTGTGAGTGCGGCCGCTCCGCACCTCTGCCGCCGGCACCGAGCGGGTGTCAGTGCCCGGGACGGGGAGGGCAGGGGTGGGCTGTGCCTCCCCTTCGCAGGGGAGGGGGAGATGGGAGGTCCTTGCACCCTGTGCTCTGCAGCGTGGTGGGACTGCTCCCCTGGGAGGCCTGAGCCCACCCGGGCCATGGGTGGGAGCTGGTCCAGCTCCCCTCTGCTTTCCCCCTTTCCTGCCGGGGCTCCTGATGGTAGCGCCAGCCCCTTCTCCACCACCTGCTGGGTTTGGGCACACTGGAGCTCGTCCTGGCCAGACCTCCATGAGCTGCAGCCCTGCAAGGCTTTTGCCACCGACGCAGCCCTCTGCCCGCCCTCCCTGCTAGGGTGCTCCTGCTGGGTGCTGATCTGCTTCTTCCCTCGTTCGCAGGAGGGAGTATGACTTTGAGGATGACTGTGACAGCCTCACGTGGGAGGAGACGGAGGAAACGCTGCTCCTCTGGGAGGACTTCTCTGGATACGCCATCGCGGCCGCAGAGGTGCAGGGGGAGGTAACGGTGGTGTCAGGTCCCCTCAAGGATCCAGCCCTGGGTTGGGACACTCGGTCCTGCCTGAGCCTGGGAAGATGCTCCCTCAGAGACCAGACTTCAGTCCCTCCGTCCCTTGCAGGCCTGTACAGATGCTTCCCTCCAGCCACCCCTGTGTAAATATGTTACTGCATCCTTGCAGGGGTCTCCTTGTTAGGCAGACCAAGGTCCCATAGCCTGAAAGGCATGACAAAGGGTGCAGCCTGGCACTTGTGGAAAGAGGTGCCTTTTCCATCTGCAGCCCTCCCAGAAATGAAGACCTCCTTTAGCTGGGCTGGGCTCTGGTGGTCCCTTGCTTGGGCTCTCTAGCTCACCTGCCCGCTGTGCAGCAGCACTGCCCAAACAGAGGTCTGGCCAAAGCCCTCTCCATCCTGCATCTTCAGCCATCGGCAGTCCCCTGGGGATGTGTCGTGCCTCGGTACAGTCTGTGCCCTCAAAAGATTCTGTGCATTGCTGGGCTTGTTCTGGGCTGATGTGCTCACTGCTCATTGTGGTGAGTCCTGGGTGTCCCTGCCCCTTGCTGGCAGGGCTGACTCGTGCCTTATTTGTACAGCACTGCTTGTGCTTTTTCCTCTTTTCCCTGTGCTGCCAGTTCTGTCTCTGGTTCTCTCTTCTTGCCTTTGATTCTTGATGCTGGACGTCCACCTGCCTCTAACCCTGCTGTCTGCTCTCCCCAACAGCAGGACGACAGCCTGGAGAAGGTGATCAAGGACACAGAGTCCCTTTTCAAGAGCCGTGAGAAGGAGTACCAGGAAACCATCGACCAAATAGAGGTGGGAAGAGGAAGTGGGGAAGACATGGCACATGTGAAATGGGGGAGTGGGTCCTCGGGGAGGGGAGGCACCAAGCTGGAGGAGGTAGCTGGTAATGGGGGCAGCAGCCTTGGATCTGGCCATGCCCTGGACTCATCCCTGCACTGTTTCCCTGGCGTAGCTGGAGCTGGCCACAGCCAAGAATGACATGAACCGGCACCTGCACGAGTACATGGAGATGTGCAGCATGAAGCGAGGCTTGGACGTGCAGATGGAGACTTGTCGGCGGCTCATCACCCAGTCTGGGGACAGGTGAGTGTCAGCAGGAGGGCTGGGGTAACCGGGCAAGGGCTGGAGCAAGGGTGAGTGGGAGCTGAAGCAGGGGGTAGTACTCTTGCTCTGCCCCGTTGTAGTGTGGAGGGAGGGCAGTTCCCAGAGGCTGTTGGTGTCCTGGTGACCAGCCTCCTCTGCACGTCATGGTGCCACCTCTGCAGCAGCTGAGCTGCACGCAGGAGTCAGTTTTGACAGGTGGAGCAGGACTCTCCATACAGAGAGAGGGTTTTTCCTTGCGCAAGGGCATTGTGTAAGTCCCCACAGGCGTGTGGAGACAGGGTGGCTCTAGACTGGGGACCTCTGTGGTGGGCATTCACTGACCCCTAGACTTGCATGCCTTGGCAAGGTTCTGCTCAGACATCTCTCCCAGCCCTTCTTCATGCTTTGGACCTCTCAGCTGGTGTCCTATAGGACACCCTCCCTAACACCCAAGGATTCCTGTGGACCCGTGAGAGGGCCAGTTCAGCTTCTCTCCTTCGTGCTGTGGTGCTTCCTGCCCACACCAGACTGGGTCCTTTCCCTCCCCCCGGGTGCTGCTGTGACCGCTGCCCTTTACTCTTCTCTGCAGAAAGTCTCCTGCCTTCACCCCAGCCTCCAACAGCGAGTCAGCCCCGAACGAGGAGAGCGAGGAGTCTGACCGTGACCCCCCCAGCGACGCTTCCATCAGATAATGAGGGGAGGCCCCACTCCTTCAGACCCCCTTCCTGGCACGGGGGTGCCTGAGCCGCACCTGGGAGAGACTGTCAGGGGCGTGGAGCTGCTGGTAAACCCCTGTCGCCCAGGCTAACTCCCGTTTTGGGGTGCTTGGCAGACCCCACAGCCCCCCCAGCCACCAGGTATCTTGCAAAGGGGAATAGCCAGATAGATCTGAGGGCCCTCGCCCAGGCCTCTCAGCTTCCAGCCCCTTCTCTATTCCCTTTCCCTGCTTTGGTTAAACTGTGGTTTGGGCAGGGAGGCTCCAGACCTGCCACGGTGGTGTTCTCCAGGGCCCCCCAGACCCACCTACTCCGTCCTCTGTCCTGGTGTGCTTGACCTGCCCTCCCTGCACCACACGGAGCCGAACGAGAACCATACCTCCCTGCAAACTGGACCTGACACTGGTGCCAACTGGACCGAGCTCCCGGGGCTCTCCCTGTCCTTGCTGCTGGTGGGGTGTCTGGGTGGGGTCCCCGTGCCGTGCCGGACACCCTGAGCCCCCCCCAGTTCCCACCTCCCCGTGGGCTGGGGGCTGAGCCCCGCTCACTGTGCACTTTGCGCGCGTCTGTGTCGCGGGGGCGTTGGGGTCATTAAATGGGACACCTGCCTTTTCTACAGCTCTGCTGGGTTGTGGGTTCTCCCTGGGCTGCCAGGGGCACCACACGGCTCGAGGTGGGGGGGTGTCATCATCCACCAGACCCCCCAAGCCCGCGTCAGTCAGGGCCTCCCATGGGACGCTCCCATCCCTTGGATGTGCCGGATGGGAGAGTGGAGAGATCCCTGTTCTGGGAGCCACTGGCCCTCAACAGGCCCTGTGTGGCACCGGTGCCTTGTTCTTCACCTGGAGCATCACTGATGCTGAGGGACTGGAAATGAAGCCAAACATGCCTTGCGACTCATGGACTTTCCTCCCCCAGTGCCTGATCTCCTCTGCCACACCAGGGCATCCCAGTGCATCTTCTCACTTGCCCTCAGTCCCGTTTCCAACCTTAGTGTACCTGTAGTGGGGGGTTCCTTTGTCTCATTTGTGGAAGCCCCCTCCCTGGAGGTGTTCGAGGCCAGGCTGGATGGAGCCCTGAGCAACCTGGTGTCCCTGCCCATGCAGGGGGTTGGAACTAGATGATCTTTGAGGTCCCTTCCAACCCAGACCATTCCATGATTGTCTGATTTGCCAGCTGGTAGTTGCCTGTGCCCCAATGGTGGCAGGAGGCTGGGGCCAGGCAGGGTGGCAGGAAGGGTGAGCAGCCTGCTGAGAGGCAAGTGAAGCTCCTGAGGGGAAAAAAAACACTTCTCACAAAAGGCCCTGGAGGAAAGAAGAGAGGTAGATGACTGTAGAGTTGTTGGATCATCTCTGGAGTTAGGTAAGGAGGGTGGAATGAGCCCTGTGCCTGAGCCGTGAGCAGCAGGGATTGCTTTCCAGGGGAGCAGGCAGGTGCTGGGTGGCAGCAGAGGGTGCTCCCCTGCCCTGGCTGTGGTGGGCTCTGCGGGTGGATGGAGCCACGTGCCTCCACACTGGCCTCAGATGGGGCCTTCACCCTGGAATTCGCCTCTGCGCTGCCTGGTTCCCCTTCTTCCCCACTTCGTTTTTGTTCCTAGAAGAGCAAAAGCCAAAGGAATTATTTTAATCTCCTGAGCGATGTTGCCTCACACTCTGTAGCTCAGGGATCACTTTCTATCCTGCCTGGAGGCTCTTCTGGTTGATGCAAGTCCCCTTACCTGTCTTTGCAGTGTTTTCTGCCCTTTCTCTGTGGGTGGCTGGCTAACTCTGGCTTCTGACTTGCATCTCTTGGCCTCTCAGCACTGCTTGAGAACCCCACAGCACTGCCAAGCATGGATGCTGAGAAACTTCAAGCATGAAGCACTGAAGGACCAAGATCCCTGCCTCAAGCTGTCGTTGCCCAGAGGAGCAGCCAGTGCTGCCAAGATGCCCATGTGCCAGGACTCGTGGGCACCCCAGACCCACCCTCCTCGTCACAACTTAATTTGCAGTGACATGAGATCTCCCCCATGCGTGTCTGCAAGATCCTGTCCTGTGGTGAATTGTATCACCACCAGTAGGCTCTGTTCCCCCAGCAGTGTGTCAGTCCCTGAGACCTCTCTGGCAGGATTCACAACACAGATCCTTTGCCTCAGCAATTTCTCATCGTGGGAAGCACAGCCTGAGGGTGCCAGTGTTAGCTGGACCATCTGCCCTGCATCTGGCTGCCCAACACTGATGATCCCACATTTTTGACCCTGGATATGAAAAGATGTGGGCCTTCCATCTATTTAAGTCTCAGTGGACTCCTTTCTATTCTTTGGGGAGTATCCAGCCTGCTTTTCTCCACCATGAGCACTGCTGGGCAGGGTGGTGTGTAGGAACTGTTCAGCACTGTGTTGCTTCTCACATCCCTAACCTTGTCCTTTGTCCAGGACACCTCTCAGAGGCACCTGGCCAGGCAGCAGTATCAGAAGAAACTGTCAAGTGAAACCACAGGTCTTGGCTGCTTGGTCAGTACTGATCTCATATAGGGAATAATCACGTATCTCATTTATTCTTAGACCCCAGCCCACTCAAAAGTCTGTTTGACCTAAACTTTCTGGTTGCAGGGGCTTGGCTATGGATGAAGGGGACCTTTTTCCTATTCTTTACCCAAATGATGAAGTGATGAAATGAACTTTGAAGGAATTGGTCAGTCACTCTTATCAGCTGACCATGCTCACCCATAAGCTATTGCATCTGAGCCCAGTGTGGTCCTTCTAGTGCACTAGAGCAGATCTTGACATGTCCTATCTCACTTAGTGTCCATGCAGGAATGGATATGTTCAGTGCAGTCCAGGCATGAATGTGTCTTACTGACTGGAATCCTGTGGCAGGATGCATCTGGGCAGTCCCTCTGTCAGCATCCATCCTGGGGCTCCTCAGAGGTGGATGCTGTCTGGTAACCTCCATGAACGTCTGTCCAAGAACATCTTTTAGGATCATGGCTCTCTGGATTGGCAGTGAGGTTCTCCCATTTAATACTTAGGCAGGCTGGTTCAGCTTCCCCACCCTGCATGCTGGTGGAGACTTATTTGGGTCATCTGGAAATGTGCTGGTGATGGCTCTGCTTTCTCCTTTCCCCACATTTTGACTGTTGTGTCTAGGTCAGGACAGACACAACTTCTATAATTGGCAGTGGGTGTGACACAAAAAAACCTCTCCCTTGAGGCAAGATCTCTCCCTGGGCTGGACAGACCCACTTGCAAGCATCTTGCCACATTCAGGGACATCACCAGGGGTCAGAGAGGCAGTTCTCTGCTGTGGCTGCTGTGCTCCAGGATCAGCCTCTTGGCAAAGGACTTTGCAACAGACAGTGTCAGGCATTTTCCAGAGGTGAGCCCTGGCTCCCTGCTAGGTGCATTTCTGATCCTGTGGGATGCAGAGTGGCCTCCTCTCTTCCTTCCCTAATGAAGTTCCTCAGGACTCATGTGAAAGGTCAGCTGTGATCCTCGGAGACCCTGTCTGGCAAGGCAGCTCTGGCAAGCCCACTGAGTTTCTTGATAAAAACTCCCTGATTTTCCCATTGCCCTCCTTGCGGCTCCTCACGTAGATGTGGGATGTTCTTGATGGCTCCAGAGGCTCCAGTCAGCCTAACCACTAAGTAGCCCAGATCATCTCCCCTGTGTTAAGCAAGCCCACTCCCTCCTTCACTCATGCCTGGCTCCCACCCATTTCAGATCATATCTCAGAACTGAAGGAGTCTGACTTGTCTGAGCGTCCAGCTGGAGTCCTGTGTTTTCCACCCAGCACCCTTCTGCTGGAGGCCTCTTGTCACCTGACCCACGTAACTCAGCTTTGTGTGAGCTTTTCCCTGATTCAGGATTCCTTAGATGGACCTGCATCTGAGACTGGAGCAACTTGTGATTCTCTGGGAACCTGTTTATTTTTTTTGTTTCTCTTGTTTCTTAGCAGAGAGGTAGGAGATATTAAAGCTAGATGGAAAGTTGTTCTTGTTTCTAAATTTGAGCCAGGAGGTTGGTTTTCCTAAGCCTCATGCCTCTGCTACAAAAGCTTTGTTCTTGAGGAGGCCATACTCTTGATATGTTTGCAGTTGTTGCTATCTCAGGTATCTGTGGCACAGTGTCCCAGAAGAACTTGGATGTGATGATCAAGTATGTTAAATATTCTGGTTATTCTCAAAACCTCCTTTCAAGAGGAGAGGTCAGAATTAAGACAGAAGAGAGTGGAGTGTTGTCCCCTTGGAGATGCACCCTGATGATGCATGGACAGGCTTCTGAAAACATCTGTCAAGGCTCTGCCTGTGGTGACTAGTGCTGGGAGCATGGAGAGCTGGATGAGCTACAGGCAGCTTCAGGGGATCCCTGTCACCACTGAACATCTTCCCGTGGCTGTATCAGGCTGAGAGAGGTGTTTCAGGTGGGAATTTTCTGTATGCTTGGGGCCACTTTCCCATGGGACAGGGACAAGGAGAGGATGCTGTAGGTCCTCTGGCAGAAGAGGGGGGGATACATTTCATAGCTTGGAGAGCAGCTGTAAGAGCTGAGAAGGTATGAAGGTAACACCATGGAAAAGGAGCTCAAGCAGCCACCAAAAGGCATCACGGTCAAGCTGCACCAGTGTCCCAACAAAGGAGCAGCATTTTCAGCTGTGACAGCAGACTGGGTCTGGGCAGGGTGCAAGAGGAGACAGGGATTCTTAGGGTAGGAGGAAACGTAGTTAAATATTTTTAGCATTCACAACCACATAGTAGGACTGCTCAGCTCACTGGTCTAACCTGTTGGGTAGAGGTGAGATAAGCAGGAGGCTGTTCTTATGTACTCCTGCTGGTGATTTATTGAGTGAGTACCTCTCTGCTTGAGAGAAAATGATGTTGTCAAGGGAGAGTTTGGCAGGCATGAAAGGGAAAATGATGTTGTCAAGGGAGAGTTTGGCAGGGAAGACTGAAGAATAATGCTGTGCTGGGGGTTTCTTACCAACTTACAAATGATGGCATGCCCAGGGAAGGCAGTGAGTTTACATGTCCTTACGACAGGTGGGGACTGGGTGAGGATTGATGATTACTTCAAGACAAGGCATCAACTGAGAAACACATCAAGACATCACCCAGGGCCAAATTGCCATAACTGAGAGCTTCATGGTGTTATGGAGCCTTTTCTTACAATGAAATTGTTCAGGAGAATTACTAAAAAAGTAGTATTAAGTGGGAAATCTTTGGAGAGAAGAGCCTTTTTCCAGTTATCCAAAAAGCTGCTGTTTAGTACACCCGAGATAGTTTTCAGTAAACTACTTGAATAAGGGGCCACGTGACAATATGCTTAGCAATAAGAATAACTAT